AATATTCCTCCTCCAGTTTGACTCGTGCATTGACCTTCAGTGTCCTTTAGTCAGGCATACTGTTCTGTTAGAAGCCTTGGACAATGGACGTGCTGTACACACACTGGACAGAAACACTGATCCTATGCATGATCAGAGCTGGTTATGCAATAGTCTGAGCACAGCAGGTACGACACACTGACAGCGGTGTGTTGTGAGAAGTGAGGAGAGAGGGGCGGACTGCCAGGGCTATTTTTAAAGACACAATCGGAGCCATCACTAAGGTTGGCTCAGTTGCAACATTATTCCGCAGGCATGCTGAGTTCCAGGAGGGCTCTTTACATTTTCTTTGCACCGCTGTGGTTTTGGTAGTGAGCTTGGAAGATGAAGATAAAATGCATATAGTGACTGTTTGAAAAGAAGCATACTTCAATGAAAAGAGACATGCAGGGCCAGAGCTGTCTGGAACAAAACCCATTTTAGCTTCAAGTGGTGTTCTGAGGAGAAGGACCAGATTTTACCGACTATAGTATTGTGAGGCAGACGTTTTCTTTTTGTTACTCAGTTACTCAGCGGGTGTATCTATACACCATTGGTTCCTCTATAGTCAGTCTAACCTAGGTTACATTGTGCACAGCGAGCAGGCAACTGTGGCTAAAGACCCACTATTTTACACCCAGCTCCAAATTCAATTAACTACCTAACTGGGAATATGAGTGTTTGTGGAAATAAAGTATAAAACAGGGAGGTAAAGGAAACGAGGGTCAGAACTGTAGGTGATATGGTTGAGCACATTTTTTATGATTCGCTGGAATAATGCACCTGGCACAGTAAATGTTTTGCAACAAGAGGGGTCCAGGGCATTTGGTTATAATGTGAAAAAGCCAGGAAACAGAGTTCAATAACGAAAGTACCTGCTCTGTTTGTTGGTGAACTCTTAACAACAAAATCACTGAATAAAAGGGATAAAAATGTTGTCGGTGCCTCTATACAACAAAACATTCAGTTTAATAAGACTGATTTGTTCTTCTTTCACTAGAATACTGTGCATCCACGAACACTACCAAACAAAAAAACCACACTTTAGTAACATAACTGAATCATAACTGTTGGGCTACAAAAAGCTTCTTTCTACTTTTAATGTTGATCTGCTTATTTCACAAACATTCCTATTTGTGTCAGTTTTAAATTATTTTCTACTTTCGGTTTTATTCTTTGTATGTACGGCCCATGACACACCAGCCGTCGGCCGCCATCTGACTCGGGCCACTGATAAGCATCTATTGCACATTAACTTTTTACATGCGTATGTGAATAACATACATTCCTTTCCCATTCGATTTAGGGCTGAAACTCACAAATAATCTCATTACTGAATAGTTTCTCTATTGGTAGATTAAGTTAAAATGTCTCACAAAACCATCACAGCCTCCTAAAGCCCAAGTTGGTGTAATTGTGTTGTTTTGTCCAACCAACAGTTCTAAAGCCTAATATCATATACAGTACGATAATAAAAAGCAACAACCATGGAGTGTTTGCAGTTCTTGATTGTCAGTGTAGCTGGTGATTGTTCTTCTGGCAAATGGGTCAACTGCTGCATCATTTTAGCTCTAACCCACTTACATCCCTACTGCAGGGGTGGAGGATCTACACCACTTATCCACTTTTCTACACTCACCCTTACCGCAGTAAAACACACGGCCCTTGAGCTGTTAATTTAAGGACACACCCTGGGAGACAGTAAACAAGCTCTGTTCCGACAGTGCAAGTGATCTACATGAGTATTGTAGGAAGCAGTCGATGATATGGCTGCAGTTGCTTCGTTCTCTCTCCTTGTATCTTTCAGCCGGTTTCATCTTATAGAAAGGTGGTAATGAAACAGGAGTGAAGTCTTTTGGAGAAAAGCTGTTGATCGTAACACTGAAACCCGGGGCTGTGACATGATTCCTCTGAAGGTTGTCTGACGATTGCCGCAAGCTGGGGACAAACAGTTGTAAAGGATGCTCATGAGCAGAAACGTGCTCAAATCAAACCTTCCCCCCCCCCCCCCACCCAGCCTTCTGTATGTTTTCCTCTTTAGTTATGGAAGGGCAACCAGCTGAGGGCTTTTCATTGTAACCTCATGGGACTATAATGCTTCTATTTTATCTGAACATCTGAAAATCTCCCTCTCTCACTCCTTTCTCAGTGTGCTTCTCTCCCCCTTTCTTTCTTATCTGTCTTATTGCCCTCATGGTTGACCAAAAGAAAATCTCCTACCGCCAGAGGAACCATCCTAGCTTGTCCCAAAGCAATTACAAGCCTGGCTATTTCTTACCCTCAGCTAAACATATTGCAGACTGATATTGCATGACTTCCTTCTCCTAAGTCCTCTACCCAAAGATAACAGTGAAAAGTACACTCATACTGTGGTGAAATTGCCTGGGGAACTTCTCAGAGACTTTGCCTCTGAACATAAGCCTGTGGAAAACTTTTCTTTGATTGAGGTTTGAAATTAAGAGCCCTAAGTGGCAGTCTGTGTGGACAATAAGAAAATCGCTCTGTGCTTGTAATGTTCATGCAAAATTAAGTATAACCTGAACATACACTTTTAATGAAGTGTATCTTTGGGTTATAAATGTGCTGCCAGTTTTATATGTTGCTCTCATGCTTGTAGAAGCATCTGAGCTGCTTCTCCATCAAAGCTGTGATGTAACACCTGAGCACAACACAAATCTGATCTCTGTGCCATCACACTGAAGCAGCTATAATCAATCTCTTTTATACTTTATTGCTCCTAGTGACGAACCTGCAGAGAATTATCGCCAAACTCTGCTGCTGCCCTCAGCTCTACAGAGCATTTAAGCATCTCTAAGCTTCCTGTTTTGCTTTTACAGCCCACAACGTTGCTGTTGGTTCAGTCTCACTGCTTTCATCAACCCTGTTTCCAGATGCAGCAGGCAGCTGTTTTTAGCAAACTGGCTCTAAAACTTTACTCTGCACTACCTGCTCAGCACTGTAGGTAGGACATTATAGTGAGCATCTGATGAACAGTGGCGCATACTGCAGTGTACAGGAAGTGCTTATGTTGCTCCAAATCTGCTAGGTGGTTAAACAGACAACTGTTTCCCAACATGTTCTGCATGTCACCTTGAAGAGTGACGATGTCAGTGTTGTTTTTACAGCTTGTTTTTGCCAAACCCAAGTGGGCAAAAAAAAAAAATCAGGTTTAACATAAAGGATATAGCAGCACAGGGTTGAACAAATGGGATATATTGTAATGGCACTGTAATAAATTTGTTATTAAAATATAAACAGATCTGTTAAACAGCTTTAAGTTGTGGAGGGAGACACTCACTCTGCATATCAAATTCACATGGAGGTCAGCTGATGCTATCTTTCATTTTCTTTGTGACTAAGCAGACACACTGCTTCTCTTCTGTTTCTCACTACCAGGTGCTGAGTTATTGTTCAAGAAGACAGTTTTCCCCCAGGGTGAGAGGGGCCGGGTCAGTCGCTGTGCCAAGCCTGAGAGTATGAAACCGGAGGTGACAGGATGTTGATGAGGAGGCCTGAAGCATTACCTCCAACCATCATGCCCTGGAGTGCTCCACTCTGCCAGCCGGTAATGAACCTAAGGGTTGCACTCCAGTCAACTGTCACCCAGTCATTCTGTACCAGCTGCAGTTTTATCCTAGAGAGAGGCAAAAACAGGTAAACACAGATACAGCTAGTGCTCAGTTTTAACCATCAGATGTTTGTTTGTAGACAACACATTTTGTACGTCTGCTACCTGAGTCAGCCCGACTGATTATATAAAGCATAGGTGGTCAATAAAGAGTACAAAATATTTGAGGGAGTGAGAAGTAAAATTATGAAACAGTGACTGGATGTGAACGGGCAAACATTCGCCTGTAGGTGTGGGTTAAGCTGATGGAGGTAGATGAAGTGTTTGTGTGTGTCTGTGTGCGCGCTCTTCCATGTCACCCCTCTAAACTCCAGTGCCCAGTAGACTGGATCTTTTTCTCCTATTCCTCAATCCCTCAAACCCGCTGATGGAGAACACAACCTTGATATATAAGCTGACAGGGGATTTTCACTCTCACTCCATCTCTCCTCCTAAATATTCTCTCTCTTTCTCATTCCAGTTTTTGGTGAGCCATAAAAACGTTAAATAATTCCCTTAGTAGAGTAGCAGTGAGGGAGGAGTCATTTCGGGTGTCCATGGTTCTGGAATAAAAAGTCCTGTTCATTTTCTTGCGTAGATAATGTGAGGAGATTGGCAGTTGGAAGGTTTCTGAGGTGTGGATGGACATGAAGCTTTCCTGGTTGAATTATTAATACTAAAAATGAGCAAAAGTTCTGGATATTTAATAAAAGGACAAAGGTACTATACAGATATACAGTGAGGAAAGATGTCGGCTATGATTGCAGGAGCATTTCTTTCTCTCCCTAACAAACTGAATGACCACCCTGTACAAAAGTTTTACTCTAATCATTAGGTCTCTACTGAGGAAATTAAAATTCTGTTTTGTCTACCATTAACAACGTGAACCTAAAGTTTATGCTTTGTAGAAACCTCTGACTTGCAATAGCATCTATTAGAATAGAACAGATAGTAGAGTAGAAACTGCACGGTCTAGGCCGGATAATCTTTGTTTTAACCACATTTTCCTCTTTCATTAAATAGCATTTTAACACCACATTCTCATATTTGCTCTTTTAGTTTTGAGATCTGCGTGATTGCTCCTGACAGTGTTTACACCACCGAGAAGCGACAAGTGGAGGACTGTGCACAGAAAGCAACTTTTTGCTACAGTGGAAATATTTGCCTTTCCATAAGACATTTTGTTCAGACAAAGTGGAATATAAATTAAGCTAAATTCTGAGATGCAAAGGTGATTTAGTTTTATCTCAAGAACAGTCCTGTTCACCCTCTGTGTGATTTACCACACTGTGTCTATACTCCATCAACTGGGATAATTGAACTAGTTTAATTAAAATATTAGCCATCAGTCACCCAACAATACAACTGATGAAATACCATTGTGGTATAATAACGTCTTTGACACAGGTTGTGTCATAAATAGCATTACACTGCATTATAATTCCTGAAATAGTTTGACAAAAGAAGAAATAAAAGTTAAAGTACACCCTCTCTGCCTCATCAACTTTTGTACGGCTTGGATTCAGCAAGCTTTATTAACAGCAGACGCAGTCGCATCTGTAGCAGTGACAGGGGGCCCAGCTCAGGGCAGCAGTGTCTCCCCATGGCAATATGTGGCAATAAAATGGAAAACAATACATGCAATGTGAGATGGGCTAGGAAGCAGGCTCGGTGGAAGCAGAGGTCATTGTCTTTCAATAAATCAGTGGAAGCAACAGCAGGGATGATTGTATAGCCTGGCGGCCATAGTGGAGCTATTACTTATCCTCCTGTCACTGTACTGGCTCCAGTCATTGTGCTCAGGCCAACAATGGGTCACACAGTAGCGAGCTCAGAAATATACAGTGTAACACTCTCATGCACTTTTGTAAAATGCACGCTGCTCATTACCACCGCCTGCCTCAAATATTATCATTCCATTCAATGGCTGTTGTCACTTGTTATTCTGTCTATACTGTAGATGTGAGTTAAGTAGGGCCCTATCCACCTCCTTGTCGGCTCAGTAAGCTGTTATCATGTGCTGGACCTTTGTTGTCATGGTTACAGTAATAAATGCAAAGCATCCCAGTTTGAGGCCCCAAAACTAACTGTTTAGATAAAGATAATGGTTTGGATTAAAAGACATTGCCTATTGGTTTGAAAGCCAAAATCTGATTGGCCACAGTCAAAGCGGGAGGCTTGTCAGTATTAATGAAAATGAAAAACAATGACAAATTGTTGCCTTTAAATACCACTAACATTTTTCTGGTGCTTTATAATTGTATTAGTCAAAGCGGTTTTATTTTATATCATCATGCAACATGATGATGTGGAGTATTGGGCACCATTCATGGAGGTGAACCACTGTGCAGCAGCAATGTTCCTGGCTGGGAGTAAAAAAAGGAGCTTCTTAATAATGTATGGTTTATTACTTAATAGAACTAAGGGATTAATTAACTTTTTACATATATTTCAAATGTGCTACGCCTCTGAGTCTATGCCCAACCTGGCCATCCTGCCCAGAATTTTCCAGATTTGCCCCCTGTTGAAAGCAGAAAGAATCAGTTGTCTCTCAGTTCGAAAGTTCCATGTTTTGTCATCTCACCCATCCACATCCACCTCCCTCCTAGGCAGACTTTGTTGTTCTTTATATAGTATCTGTGGCCACAGTGTTGCTACTTTGGATATTTTCAGTAGTCATTGTGTGTGTGTGTGTGTGTGTGTGTGTGTGTGTCTGTGTCAGATTAGTTTGCTGCAGTTGCTCTTGACTTTATAAGGCTGCAGCTAATCTGCAGGCAACCTGTGGTGTCATCGTTCTTGTCATTTGTCACTCTCCTAGCAGCTCTTATTTTCTCATATTCATCAGTGACTGTCTAACAATAGTGTAGGTGAATTACAATCATAAGGAAATTATGAGGCTGTATTGGTGTGACTCAAATATATAATATTGCACCAAAGGACAAGGCTGCAAGTGGTTGTTTTAGCAATATTGACAGCAGAAAAACCCAGAGAACAGGATGATGATGATGCAATGAAGAAAAGAAATCAGAAGAGAGGAAATTAATGAAGAGGTACAGATCAGAGGGTATTAACTTAAAAGTAGGGCAGCGGTCTTATAATATTTTGGCTCCACATGTTCTTGCCCACATTGTGTTAACTGTCCATCAGTCCATCTGCATTGTGAGGCTGTGAAGTCAGGGTCATTCTTGCTGCCGACCAAACACCCGAGAGCTTTAGAAATGAAAAGGATTTATTTTCCAGTTGCTGCAGAGTTATATATAATGAACCACAGATTCACTGACTCATTTGGAAACTTTTAGTACCTTTCCTTCACATAGCAGAGTTATAATCCATCAGTTCAAATAACGACACTTACACAAATAAAATACAATAAAAATACTTCTGTTGCTGCCACTGACACCGGATCACCATAATGACTTTGGCACAGCCTCATTTTATAAAATTACAAGTGTAAACTACCACATGAATATTATTACATCAATCAAAACAAAAGCAACATTGCTCTGTAATACAAAACATTATAAAATGCACATTCAGATTCAAAATGTGTCCTGCGGATACCGGTACATAGTGAGAAGGATGCCTTATTTTTAAATAGCCATGAAGAAACGTATTCATTTAAGAGTTGATTCTATGATATTTGGGAATGTTACACTGAAACACAGTGTGTTTATCGTATGTTGCAATCTACAGGCTATGTAAGTGTCACTCTTGAAATTAAGATGCAGCCAGTAGCAACAAGAAAACTTAAAAACAGGGACAGAATGACTTTTACTGTCCTCAATGACAAGCTTGAATTGCCTCTTTCGTCTCAAACTGTTGCGTGAACCTCTAAGCTTCCTCAGGGGAGGCGGGATGAAGCGTAAGTCGGCCGTGCTTTACTTCTGCTGTCAGAGGTGGTTTCAAGATTCGGGCTTAGTGATCTACGACACATTCCTCCTCCACACAAGACGTTGACGTTTCACCTTGACTTTTGAAGGGGACATGTCAGCTCCAGCAGTGACAGCAGACAGTCCTCGGGCCTTGGCTGCTGTGAGAAACGAAATCATTGATCAGACTAATGATGCTGCACATGGACTGAATCTTTAAATAGATGAGGGAGGGAGGCAGTAAAATCAGGCAGTATCCCAGAACATCTGGTGCCCGACAGTCAGAATTATATTGTTAAAAAGAAAGTACAGCCCCAATATTTAATGCAAAAAGACAAGCAATGCAGACATCCAAGTATGATATACGTGTTTAGGATGGTTAAATGTATATGGACATGCCTATTATACATAACGTCTTTGTTCAGAATTTCATTCATGGTTTGGTTTAAGCTGCTTTAGGGTACTGTAGTTGTAATGCTGCAGCATCTTTAGACAACAGCTCACAACTTTATGGCAAGAATTTAAGGAAGGCCTTTGTGCCTCCATGCAAAAAGCAAGGTTCATTAAGACATTATTTCCCTGTTTGATAGAAAAGAATCCAACTGGCCTGTACAGAGCCCTAACATTTTGGGGACAAATTAGAAGCAGCTCTTATCAGCCAACATCAGTAGCTGACCTCACTAATGCACCTGCGCACATACCTGCAGCCAACGTTCAAGCTCTTGTGGGAAACCTTCCCACAAGAGTGGAGGCTGTTTATAGCAACAAATTAATGTGAATTCTTTTGGAAAGAGATGTTCAACAGTGGGTGTAATGTTCACATGTCCACCCTTATCTGACCGTGTGTGTTGAGATAGAATTACTGTGAAATTTGTACATTTCACTTCTGTCAAGTTGTTAAAGCCAGAAAAATAAAGGCTAGATAACAGGATGTATACTGTGTTCAGTTGTCATCAAACCTGTTGCCATGTATAGAGCTATACTGTAATATATTCAGTCACAACATTTACTCTCATTTTGGCTCTATTTTGGTTTCCACCAACTCTTCAGACTTAGCTTTAGCTGCCAAATACTCCATAATTGTCCATAATTACTTTGTCCCTATAAGCAACCCCTTTTACATTACATAGTAATTTGATTCATTGTTGATATAAATATTGATTATAGCAGCTTTAAGA